GCTGCAGAGGCTGCGGGTTGGGGTCCTCGCTGGACTGCACGAAGTCGTCCAAGTAGAAGTGGCTCGTGATGAACGTGGTGGCCTTGCGGTCCGGCTGGTCCAGGGGCAGCGGCTCATTCCGCTCCAGGTAGCCCACAACCTGCTCGAAGCGCGGGCGCTGGCTGAAGCCGTGGGCCCGAAGGGTCTTCATTTACTGTTGCGCAACTTCGCCCGCTGCGCGTTCAACGCCCCTGCGCTCGGCGCGCGCGTAGCGCAGCTGGGGTACCTGGCGGTGCACTGCCTCCGTCAGCCGGCTCACGTCGTCCAGGTGCCGCTGCCCCTCTTGGGCTAGCCGGCGTTCCCCTAGCCAGGCGTTGAAGGCCTGCGCCTCCTCCAGCTCTCGCTGGCGCTTCAGCAGCAGCGGCTGCAAGTTGTAACTGGGGTACGTCCTGCGAAACCACTGGAGCATCTGAGGCTCGTTGCGAGGTTCTAGGGACATCATGCTTTTACACTAGTACGCTAGCGCCCGCCGTCAGCCGGTCGTAGGCCGACTGCCTCTCCAGCATGCGCATGGCGCGCTCGCTCGGACGAGGCGCTTCTACAGGCTCGGGCCGTACCTCCTCGGGCCGTACCTCTCTGTGTACCTCGGGCTCGGGCTGTACCTCGGGCTCTAACTGTGGCTCTAGCTGTGGCTCAGCCTTGGGCGCTGCCTTGGGCTTGGGTGCTGCCTTGGGCTTGGGAGCTGGCGCGGCAACTGCCTTGGGTGCTGCCTTGGGTGCTGCCTTGGGCGCGGGCGCTGCCTTGGGCACGGGCGCTGCCTTGGGTGCTGCCTTGGGCGCTGCCTTGGGTGCTGCCTTGGGCGCTGCCTTGGGTGCTGCCTTGGGCGCTGCCTTGGCCACGGGCGCTGCCTTGGCCACGGGTGCTGCCTTGGCCACGGGTGCTGCCTTGGGTGCAGCCTTGGGAGCCGTCTTGGGCTTTGTGGGAAATCTCACCCTCTTGGGACGGAAAGGGGAGTCCGCCTCATACGCCGGCTCCGTGGGCAGGTCGTCGATCATTTTTTTTCTCTTCGCCAGGTCGTCGATCATTTTTTTGCTCTTCGGCAGGGGCAGCTCGGGCGGCTTGGGCTTGTTTTTGCTGCCCGGGGGCCTGCCTATAGGCCTTGGCGCCGGTTGCGCTTGCTTCATCGGTTTTTTTAATAGAAAATATTTTTTTTAAAGACCTTCGGGGAATTAGACGTGATCCAAAAACAGCACGAAGGACAACGACGAGCCCCGCAGTCGGACGACTTGGCCTTCCAGGTCTGTCAGCCGGAAGCGCAGGTGTCTCAGGGTGATGGGGCCCCTAACGGCCATGAAGCGCCCGTCGTCGGAGCCGGTCTCCACGATGGTGCCCACGCCGCTCTTCAGCGTTATCTTGGACAGGATGTCGTCCCCCAGATTGCCCAGCACGCGGCTGGCGTTGGTGAGCTGGGGGCAGCGCAGGTAGACCTCGTTGTATGCCATCATCCTCACGAGTTCGAAGACCTGCTGCCCGCCAGAGACGAAGCTCGGGCCGAGCGTGTGGTCGATGCTGAAGGGCTTGGATGGCGAGGCGGCCGGCGAGGTGGGGTAGTCCACAGCGGCTGGGAACTGCTGCTGCAGCTCCAGATCGTTCAGAATGAGCCGGTTGCCGTCGTAGGCTACGCTCAGGCTGTTCGTGGTCTCGCTATACGCGGCAGTGGCGAAGTTGGAGCTGATCCAGGCGGCCAGCCGGGAGCCCGTGTAGGCGCCTTCCGGAAGGAGCGCCCAATTCAGCGTGCCGAGCGCGGCGTCCACCCAGTACAAGTAGCGGCCGCGATCAGTCGACAAAAAGCTGTCCGCGATTCTGATCTTATAGACAGCCAGCCTGGCGTCGCTCTGCAGGTGCAGAGACTCACCCAGGTCTACCTCAAAGTCGCTGTCCGAGCCGGCTACCCTCTTGCGGCTGTCCACATAGATCGTCGTCATTCTTTTCTTTAGGAAGCCACCTGTTCGGCGAACGATGGGTGGCTGCCTGAGGCGCAGGAGATGTTCTCGCACCTCGCATTCATGAGCGTAGAGCTAGCGAACAGCTTCTGGCCCAGGAAGCTGAGCGCCGCTCCCATCGGCTTCTCTTTCCAGTGCAAAACGCTCTTCGAAGCGCAAGTGGAACATTTGATTCTTTGGCTTGAGGTAGTAGACGAAGAGGAAGCTGTAGGGCTCCCGAGTCGCCTGCTCGTAGATCCTGTGCAGCTTGTCCTTCGGCAACAGGGCGCTGAGCTCTTCGATGACGGCGTCCAGCTCGTGCTGGTTGCGCAGCCTCCAGCAGCAGAGAAATTGCATGTTCACCCGCACGGCTGCGCTGATGAGCCTCAGTTTCTGGGAGCTCACCCAGGTGCTGATTTGCATGTGTCTGCCTCTGATGAAGAGCGTGTCCAGGGCGCCGTGGGCCTTGTGCAGCTGCGGGCTATCTGCGTAGTCGTCCAGGATAATCAGCACCTGGTAGAGTTTCTTCATCTCCAACTTCTTGGATGTCTCGGTGATCTTGCGCTGCCTCTGGATGATCCCCCGCAGCGCTGCCTCGTCCCACTCGTCGTTCCCGCTCGGTATTAACCCCCAGGTCCTCCTCTATGTACTTCTTTACAGGGACCCTGGTGCGGGCCTGGCAATCCTGTGTTGGGCACAGGATTGCAGCCTCAATCCTGCGCTGGCAACAGGATTGCTCCAGCCATTCCTGCGCCACACACGATTGCCCCGACGTCCCCCAGCAGCCGGTCCACGTGTGGAGCTAGCCTGGATTTGTTTCCCATGTACTTCAGCCGCATGCCAGCCTTTAGATTTATCCCGGTCTCACTGCCCGGCTTCCCAGCGTCGAATTTGGGAAGTAAGGCAAAGGACGTATGGGGAAGATCAAGCTGTTTCCTACAGCTGAGTATAGCAGTAAGCAGCCCTCGGACCCCGTGGTGCCCCTGGTACCATGCACAGGTATCTTCCTCGGCCCCAGCAAGTCCGGCAAAACCGTGGCGCTGATCAGCATGATTCTGGAGCAATACCGCGGCGTCTTCGAGAAAATCTACATATTTAGCCCTTCCATCAATATCGACGACAGCTGGCCCGCACCAGGCCCGCACCAGGCCCGCACCAGGCAATTGGAAGCTTGGGCCAGAAATCCGACTTCGGTGCCCGAGACCTTTTTAGGAACGGCTTTGAGACAAGCATATGACTACTGGCAGGATCAACCAGGATTTGCAAACCCATCGAAGCCGCGGAGCCGGCCTCGCTTTTCCAAGCCTTTTGCGCACTTTTCGGCCCCAAAGAGAGCGGTGACGAAGCGGTGACAAGCGGTGACAAGCGGTGACATGCTCGGCGGCTGGAATTCGCCGCTTTTCCGGCCCGAAAGCGGAAAACTGAGCAAAGTGGTCGTCTGGAGCCCGCTTTCCACCGAAAACCTGCGAATTTGGAGGCTCGGGCATCCCACTTACAGTCCGACACGAAAAACGGACTCTTCGGACTCGACCGTTTTGAGCGATTTTTTGCACCAAAAACGGAGCCGGATGGAGCGGTGACTTCAGTGGTGACAAGCTCGGCGGGCTGACGGACCACCTCGGCGGGCTGTCGCGTTACGTGGAAAAACCTCGGCGGGCTGACGTGTTACTCGGGAGCACCTCGGCGGGCTGCCGCGTCAGACGCTGGCTGGCTCTGGGCTGTGCCTCGGCGGGCTGACGTGTTAGAGACCGGTGACTTCGGCGGTGACAAGCTCAGCGGGCTGGAATTCGCAGGTTTTTCGGGGTAGAAAACGGATTTCGGAGCACTGCAAACACCTGGAGCAGGTTTTCGGCGGAAAACGAGCGAATTTGGAGGCCCAGGCTGCACTTTTGACGCCGGACACAAAAAACGCACTTTTCGGAGTTCTCCGTTTTCAGCGCTTTTTGCACCAACAACGGAGTGGTGACAAAGACCGGTGACATCGGAAAAACGTTCAGCGGGTTGAAGAATTTGGCTGTTTTGCAGGGTTTTGAGACCCAAATCCGAAAATTAATTGGGGGGTGTAAGCCTTCTTTCCTTACTACTAACTTCGTGGTCACGACAGACCTGGGCAACGAGTTCGCCACGCTGGACCGGGAGCTGCCCGCGGAAGCCGTGCACCGGACGAAGCGGCCCGAGGACCGCAACGCCATTGCCGTGGTGGACCGGGGCATCCAGACGCTGAAGAAGGACCTGGCCACGAGGGTGGCGCGCAAGGGCGGGCAGTGGAGCGACCACTTTCAGCAGACCGCTTCGGCCTACAACGCGCGGCCCCTCGAGACGGTGCACGGCGCGCCCGAGGACGTGGAGAAGCAGCCGGCCACGGAGTTCAGGGTCCTCCAAGACAACGCCGACAAGTTCCAGCACAACAAGGACCTCACCGAGCGGCGCGTGAAGGCGGTGCAGGACGCGGGCGCCTTCCGAGCGCCAACGAACGCGGCGAGGAGCTTCAACCCTCAGTACGGCGACGTGCAGCAGCTGCGGGCCGTGGACTCCATGACCGTCCGGAGCACCGAGGGCCGGGAGACCCTGCTGAAGCTGGCGCTGCCGGCGCCCCAGGGCAGCGGCAACGCGGCGGGCCGACTGACGAGGCGGGGCAGGCCGGCAGCTGTCAGGCAGCTGGACGTCTTCCTGGCGCCTCCAAGGCCCAGGACCCTCGACTGATTACGGCTACTTTGGACCAAACCGGAAACTTTGCATAAAGCGCTGGAAACTTGTAGTACATTGAGTCGTGTTTTTGGGGGAACCCTAGCATGATTTTCCTGAGAGCACCCCTCTCGGACGACATCATTATAAAAATCTGAATCCCCATTTCCGTGTCCTCGACCTATCGACCTGCCCGAGCAAGACGTCGAGACCGCAGCCTCAGGCATTGAGGCATCTAACAAGGGTTGGACATCTGAGGTGCGCTCAAGACAGCAAGGGTTGGACAGCGTTTTCCTTGCGCAAGCACGCCATCTGTTCACTGCAAATGGCTGACACTGTACGTCACCCAAAAGCCTAAGAGCTACTTGCCGATCGGAGCTTCACACCCACCATGCGCTCATTTTGCTTGAGGGTGGAGATGTACCGCGGGCCATAGGATTGCCCTTTGATCCCCAACTTCGAGATCACGCTCTTTGCCGCGCCCAAGGTGTCCAGGCTGAGGTAGGTCTTCAGCGCCATCGTCAGCTCCGTGTGGAGGTTTGCTTCCTTCAAGGGCACCAGCTCACACATCTCTGCCATGAAGGCCTCGGGTTTGGCCTCCTCGTCCTTGTCTGCACATGGGACCAGGTCCATGGCGCTCATCTTCATCTCCGGTGGCTGCGGCTTGATCTCGGTGCCTGGGTTGTACTCCATCTCCAACGAGTCCACGAGATTTGCCGCAAGGAAGAAGATGTACTTGTTGAACTCTCCTCGGTTTATCCGGGTCTTGAGGCCATCCACGGCTCGCTCCTCGGTGGCCATGGACGGCTTCAAGGTGAAGCTGACCGTTATCTGGCAGACTCGAAGCCGCCGCAGCATCCCATCCGGTCGAGTCACACGGGGAGGGTGATTGCTTGTTGCCACCAGCAAAGCCGTAGGCATGAAGTCCCGGGGACCCTTGTTGAGCTTCCTGCTGCAGACTGGCGCACCTTCCATGTCACAAAAGGGCTTGATGAAGTCATCCGCCAACGAGTAGCGCTCGGGGACTTCACTGGCCCAGGCCAGCCGCTTGCCTAGAGTCCTTGCATGGTAAGGCGCGGGTCCGTCCTTCGCGGTCAGGTAGCGAGTCTGTTGCACCACATAGTTTCCCGGAAGCTGCACCCCGTAGTTGTCCTTGCCGTGACCGAGGAAGGCGTGCAACATCTTCACCTTGGTGTCCTTCCCGGAATCCTGGCTTCCCCAGATGTAGTACATCTCGCAGAACCGCGGCGTCGCGGAGATGGCCCTGGTCATCAGACGCAGCTCGTAAAGGACGGAGTCCCAGTCCCCGTACACCTTCATGTGGCGGAGGATCTCGCACCCGTCCTGCTCCAATTTCTCGAAGCACTCGATGACCTGTTTGCCATTCTCGCTGGCCTTGAGCAGACACACCCCCGTCTCCAGATGCTCCTTCAAGAAAGCCAGGATGTGCTCGAAGAGCTTGGTCGCCTTGCTCGGCTGCCACATCTGAAGCCCATGTCGGCGGGGATCGGTGATCGGAGGACACGCTCCTTGAAATCGTAGAGCATGCCGTCGCAAAAGAGGATCGTCGCCGTCAAGGTCCGCCATCTGCGGGCCTGCCAGACGCACATCTTGCACATCAAGTCTTCCACGGTCTGGCCCAAGTCGTCCCGGTTTTGCACCAGCCAGAAGCCTCCCTTCTCGAAGCTTTCGTAGGTGGTCCTCTTCTCACCCCCCTCCACCGGAACGTGTCAACCGGGACCAGCTGCGCCGCCGCCAGCTTTGCAAAGTCCACGGTGTTTGCCCTTGCCCGTCCAAGTATGAGGGCCCCGATGCCGTCGTGCTGGTGGTTGTTAAAGACCCTGCCCGCTGCCGCCGCCATCTTCTCCATCTGCAAGGCCCCCGAGGCAGTGGAGCGGCCCTGCTCCGTGTGCCAGTCCTTGGCCTTCTGTGGCAGCAGCTCAAAAACGGCCACGTGGTAGAGACGCGCCGCCGTCTCGAAGCCGTAGAGCCAAGCAGCCACCTCGCCGCGCTCCCCCTCATCCGAAGCCAAGGGTATGTCCTGCAGCACCTTGCTCGTCCAGTTTGCAAAACCACCCCCAAAGCCCAGGGCAATCATCAGCTCCTTCGCCACGCTGTGCCAGCGGGCCTCGGGCTTGTGGAAGAGCACGCAGGCGATCTGCGCAAGCTTCTCTCACGGTGGTCCAGGTACTCCGCCATGATGGGCGGCAGCGGCTTCTATCGGTTCAAGAGCTGGAAGAACGAGTTCTTGATGTCCAGCTTGACGGATCCAAGGCGATGCCACGCAATGTAGCGGACCAACTTCTTAAGGCAAACGCAGAGCGCCCCACGGAACCCCCATCTCGATCTCCTTGCGAATCTCCGGCGGCAGCTGCTTCATGAACTCTGCCCGAGCGGAATCCACGGCGCCCTCATTGCCTTTGCGCTTTTTGGCAGGCGCCTCGTGTGGGCACCCGACCGATGATCCGCCCCTTCAGCCCTGGGCGCAGGAGCACGGGAATCCACCCAATGCCGTCCTGGTCCACATTCACAGAGCGCTTGAACAGGCAAAGAGACTGTGGTCAGGGCATCGCCGCACGGCGTCGAGCTGCAGAGCTAATGGTGAACACGTCCGTCCGCTCCCAAACAAGGCGATGGTGTTTTAGATTATCCTTGGGAGGCTCGGTAAACTGCTCCTTAAACTGCGTGTAGTGCCCCAGTTGGGCGGGTGTCGGAAGCTCTACCTTCTCCTCTACCTCCTCCACCTCCTTCTCCTCCACCTTGACCTCCGTCTCCATCTGCTCCGCCGGCTCCTCCGTCTCCGGTGTCTCCGTCTCCATCTCCATCTGGGCCTCGACCGGCTCCTTGACCGCTCCTCGGCCGGCTCATGGGCCTCCGTCTCCTCCTGGGCCTCCGTCTCCTCCTGGGCCTCAGCCGGCTTTTCGGCCGGCTCGTGGGCCTCCGTCTCTGCCGGCTCATGGGCCTCCGTCTGCTCCTGGGCCTCCGTCTCCTCCTCGGCCTCAGCGGCTTTTCGGCCGGCTTGTGGGCCTCCGTCTCTGCTGGCTCATGGGCCTCCGTCTCCTCCTGGGCCTCAGCCGGCTTTTCGGCGGGCCTCCATCCTGCCGGCTCATGGGCCTCCGTCTGCTCCTGGGCCTCCGTCTCCTTCTGGGCCTCAGCCGGCTTTTCGGCCGGCTCTTGAGAGCCTCCTTTCAAAGATGCGTTGGAGCTCCCGCACCAACTCAGCTTCCTTGAGGTTGGCATTGTTGAGGTTGCGCCGACGGAGAAGGCCGTCACAGAAATTGATGACCTCTGCGGCGGTCTCCACCGGACGCACAGCGCGCGGTGCAGAAGCCCTCAGCTCAGTCATGGGCCGCTGGCGAGTAGCGTCTGGATTACTGACGACCGCCAAGCTCTTGATGCTCTGCATCTTACCGAAGGCCTCTCCAGCGCGGGGGTCCGTGCACTTGGCGAGAGGTGCGGCTTCAGGATCTTCCCCGGCCCTGCGTCGTCCTGCAGATGATGCACTTGGTGCACCCGGACAACTCGATGCGTTGGGCTCAGCACGAGCTGCACCGCCAGGGACCGCGCGGCATCCATGGTCATGGTAGGTGTCGAAAGCTAAGTTCCTTCTGAGAAAATGCTTCAAAAGATAAAGATGGCACGTCCCAGCAAGTACCCGAACGCTTGGCAATGACTGGCAACCAGGCCCCGGACATTCGGAAACAGCAGCCGAAGTCGAAGGCGTCTGAGCGGCAACTCCACCCGGTCCTGGAGATGCTTGTCAAATGGCCTAGTTCTGTGCCCCCCCTGAGGCGGTTTTTTATTTATATAAAAATCTAAATGCTTCGATCCCTCGTGCTTCGATCCCTGGCATCCCGGGCTTTCTGTGCCCCCCTGAGGCGGTTTTATTTATATAAAAATCTAAATGCTTCGATCCCTCGTGCTTCGATCCCTGGCATCCCGTGCTTTCTGTGCCCCCCTGAGGCGGTTTTTTATTTATATAAAAATCTAAATGCTTCGATCCCTGGCAGGTTGTCTCCCGTGCTTTCCGTGCCCCCTGAGGCGGTTTTTTATTTATATAAAAATCTAAATGCTTCGATCCCTGGCAGGCTGTCTCCCGTGCTTTCCGTGCCCCCTGAGGCGGTTTTTTATTTATATAAAAATCTAAATGCTTCGATCCCTGGCAGGCTGTCTCCCATGCTTTCCGTCCCCCCCTGAGGCGCTTTTTTATTTATATAAAAATCTAAATGCTTCGACCCCTGGCATCCCGTGCTTTCTGTGCCCCTTGAGGCGGTTTTATTTTTCTAAAAAAACAAATGCTTCAATCCCTCTGCAGGCAGTCTGACAAGGAATGCGAGCGTTTAGGTTTTATATAAAATATAAACTTTTTTTTTTTAATCGAAACACTTCCTCGCGGCTTGTCAAATGGCCTAGCTCTGTGCCCCTTGAGGCGGTTTTATTTTTCTAAAAAGCTAAATGATTCAATCCCTCTGCAGGCAGTCTGACAAGGAATGCGCGCGTTTAGCTTTTTATATAAATTAAAAACTTTAATTTTTGAAAAAAAAGAAAAGAATACTTCCTCGCGGCTTGTCAAATGGCCTAGCTCTGTGCCCCTTGAGGCGGTTTTGTTCATATAAAATCTTAAATTGCCTTTTCAATCCCTTTCCATGTGGCTGACAAGGATAATGCGCGGGTGTACTTGACCATTTGGCTATTAAAATTTATTTTTTTTTAAAAAAAAGAAAAGAATACTTCCTCGCGGCTTGTCAAATGGCCTAGCTCTGTGCCCCTTGAGGCGGTTTTGTTCATATAAAATCTAAATGCTTCAATCCCTCTGCAGGCAGTCTGACAAGGAATGCATGCGTTTAGTTAGTTTTATATAAAATATATAAATGTATTTTTTTTTTAAAAAAGAAAAGAATACTTCCTCGCGGCTTGTCAAATGGCCTGGGTCTGGCGCTGGGGGGAGGTTTGGGCAGTGCCGAGTGTAGGATTAATACTGCTTCGCCCAACGACCTGGTAGCTGCCTACGTTGCGAGTCGGCTTGTTGGCTTCACTTGATCACACACACTCTTGGATGTGGATTGCTTTTTGTTTGGTGAGATATATCTGATTGGCCTGGCAGGCTTGGTGCAGTTGGTTGGTTGAGCATGCTTGCTTGACAGGAGAGTGGGCTGGCTGTGTGTTTCGAGTTGGCACGGTGGGTTTGGCGTTATATCTTGCTTAAGTCTCGTTTTTATACGGTTATTGTTTTTTTTTCTCTTTTTTGATGAGTTTTGCTCTTTTTGCATTAGTATTCTCCATGCATCGTCTTTCGCTGTTCTCGTGAATAACAGCCTCTGCAAGGGGGCACAGAAAGCAACGGAGACAAGCCAGGATCGAAAGCATATAGATTTTATTTTTAGATTTTTATTTAAATAAAAAAGCGCCTCAGGGGGGCACGGAAAGCATGGGAGACAGCCTGCCAGGGATGGAAGCATTTAGATTTTTATATAAATAAAAAACCGCCTCAGGGCGGCACGGAAAGCACGGGAGACAACCTGCCAGGGAGGGAAGCATTTAGATTTTTATATAAATAAAAAACCGCCTCAGGGTGCACAGAAAGCACGGGAGACAACCTGCCAGGGATGGAAGCATTTAGATTTTTATATAAATAAAAAACCGCCTCAGAGGGGCACAGAAAGCACGGGAGACAACCTGCCAGGGATGGAAGCATTTAGATTTTTATATAAATAAAAAACCGCCTCAGGGGGCACAGAAAGCACTGGAGACAACCTGCCAGGGATGGAAGCATTTAGATTTTTATATAAATAAAAAACCGCCTCAGAGGGGCACAGAAAGCACGGGAGACAACCTGCCAGGGATGGAAGCATTTAGATTTTTATATAAATAAAAAACCGCCTCAGGGGGGGGCACAGTGCTAGGCCAGTTGGGCGAGCCAGTATCAAACGAGGTTGGGCGGACCAGTACTATGGGCCGTTGGGCGAACCCGTACTAAGGGTCGTTTGGGCGTAACCCGTATAAGGGGGCCGTTGGGCGAACCCGTACTAAGGGGGCCGTTGGGCAAACCCGTACTAAGGGGGCCGTTGGGCGAACCCGTACTAAGGGGGCCGTTGGGCGAACCAGTACTATGGGCCGTTGGGCGAACCCGTACTATGGGTCGTTGGGCGAACCCGTACTAAGGGGGCCGTTGGGCGAACCCGTACTATGGGCCGTTGGCCGAACCCGTACTAAGGGGGCCGTTGGCCGAACCCGTACTATCCTACGTGCCCGCTCGGCACCGTGCCCGCTCGGCACCCCCTAAGTGCCTGCTCGGCACTGTGCCTGCTCGGCACCCCCTAAGTGCCCGCTCGGCACTGCCTATTCCTAATCTAGAGTGCCCGCTCGGCACGTTTACCTAAAGTGCCCGCTCGGCACTGTGCCTGCTCGGCACTCCCTCCCGCCCACCCCCTCTCTCCCCAGGTCCCGACCGCTGTTTTCACAGATCGGCTCGATGTCGCCCCGCTCACACCTCCATCCTGCGCCGGTGGCATGACAAGATGCTGACAAAAAACTCACAAAGCAGGAGCCTCACGCAGGCCCAGATGAGGACTTCCCCTGGGGCAAACTGTGGATTACGTGCCAAAACACTGTGTCATGACATGAGCGGCCTTGGCCGGGGGCTCGCCCTTCGGCGTTGGAGCCGGCTCCACCTGTCAATCAAAGTGAGCGATTGCGGAGTCCTACAACAAACCGATAGGGCCTTGGGGCGCTTGCTGGCCGGGACCAAAGCCTGTCAGGAAACAAGATCAACATACTCAAGGCCCAGCATCTCTCCCAACCTCGAGATTCGCGACCTGGGCCCTGAGCTGCGTGTTGTCCAGATGCAGCGGCCCGTGATCAGCCTGCCCAGGTCACGCATGAAAAAAACAACCAGCACCTGCGCGCTCCTGGTACGAAGCTGTCCACCTCCGCTCCGCGGCCAGCTCCGCGCAAAACCTGGTGTTCTCCTGAACCTGGCAAAAAAGGAAGTGCATACAAAAAAAAGAAGCCTCCCCTGACCTTCTCGTAGAACCGCTTCTCGAGGGCCTCCTGCCGCAGAGCAAAAACAAGAGAGTTGACAAGCCGGCCACAGCTCCTTCTCCGACTTCACCTCCTTCAGCTCCTCCTCCAGCTTCTGGATGAGAACGTCCTGCGGCCAAGTGTAAGCAAACCTCATCAACTCGCTCCGCAAAAACCTCGCCTTCACCGCCAGCTCCTTGCGAACGTCATCCTGCAGCCAGGAGCGTGCACGCTAACGACAACACCGAGTCTCTCCTTCCAGGAGTTGAAGGCCTTCTCCCTCTTCACCTTCGACGGCGGCCTTCAAGTGGCGAGATGACGCAAACGCGTGAAAAAAAAATCAGGCCTGCGAGGCACCTTCCACCCGGAGCTGCCGGCGCCATCCCACTCCACCTGACGGGGAAAAAAAGGGGAAAAAACACGAAGGCGAGTCGGGCCTGGTGCGGCCCATGCGGATGCCACTCCTCCTGGCGCGGAGAAAAGGGGGGAAAACACGAAGGCGAGTCGGGCCTGCGGCCCATGCGGATGCCACTCCTGCGGCGGACACCACTCCACCTGACGTGGAAAAAAAGGGGGAACAAAAATCGAGGGCGAGTCGGGCCTGCGGCCCATGCGGATGCCACTCCTGCGGCGGATGCCACTCCTCCTGCCGTGGAAAAAAAGGGGGAACAAAAATCGAGGGCGAGTCGGGCCTGGTGCGCTCCATGCGGCGGAAGCCACCCCTGCGGCGGACGCCACTCCTCCTGGCGTGGAAAAAAAAACAAGGAAAAGACGAGGGCGAGTCGGGCCTGGTGCAGCTCATGCGGATGCCACTCCTCCTGTCGTGGAAAAATAGGGGAAAAAATCGAGGGCGAATCGGGCCTGGTGCAGCTCATGCGGCTGACGCCAATCCTCCTGGCGTGGAAAAAACAAGGAAAAAAAACGAGGGCGAATCGGGCCTGGTGCGTCTGACCCCACTCCTCCTGACGTGGAAAAAACAAGGGGAAAAGGGAGAAAAAACACGAGGCCAATTCGAGCCTGCGGCTCCCATTGGCCCCAGCATTCCTCCTGACAGCAACACACCCATAAAAAACCGGCACGAAAAACTTCGAATGTCCTCCGTGACTCCACTCATGGCCGGGGCGCTGATGCTGATGTTGCTGCTGTTGCTGTTGATGCTGATGCCCGAAACCTTGCCCCGCTACCCGAAGCTTGCCCGAAACCTTGCCCCGCTACCCGAAGCCTTGCCCCGCTACCCGAAGCCTTGCCCCGCTACCCGAAGCCTTGCCCGAAACCTTGCCCCGCTACCCGAAGCCTTGCCCCGCTACCCGAAGCCTTGCCAGAACCCTTGCCCCGCTACCCGAAGCTTGCCCGCTACCCGAAGCCTTGCCCGAAACCTTGCCCCGCTACCCGAAGCCTTGTCCCGCTACCCGAGCCAGTGCTGTTGCTGGTGCTGGTGCTGTTGCTGGTGCTGGTGCTGTTGCTGGTGC